ATATAATCTTCTTAACTTATCATTCCATTCTTGTATAATGTAATACATGATTACATGCATTCGTAAAACATTCTCTTCTTTTATAACTTTATTTAAATACTTATACATTATTTTCCTTTCCTTTATTTCACTTATGATTATATATTTGATAAAAGAAGGGACGTAGTCCTCTAGATTTAGATATAGTATAGTATATCAAGATACAGTAGTTTTCACTTAACAACAAATCCATATTTAAACGGCATTAAGTATATATATATATATATATAACATTTAATTCATTGATTTTTTACAAGTGCTTCTTTTTTTTTTTTTTTGGAATTGATCTAGTATCGATAAATGGACCCAATTAATTATCGGCGCAATAAATTGAATTTTAAAAAAAATGGCGAAATAAAGTAACTCTGCTTTCAGTGTTGCATACGTTGCAAAAGGACTCACTTTTTTTTAAACACCTTGCACCACAGGATATACATAAGATATTTGATTGCTGGAAACAATCCGAATCCGTTCACTTAGTATAATGTAATGCAAATATCGTACAACATATAACTGCATCAAAACGGATTTTTAGACAGCTTTTGCTAATATTCGCATAATCGACATCATTCATGTCGGTGCGACTTAACTGACTTGTAAATTGTCATTGAACTTATCATTGAAACAAGACATAAACGAATCGTTGAATCGATTTTATATTTGTTCGATTAAGCTCGACTAAAGCCAAGCCGGTCTAAATTGACTCCGATCACGACTTTTAAATATTGTAAAATCTCCGAAACTTATTTCATTACTTTACAAACATATATAGCGAATCTTATATATATTCTTGATTGATCGATGACCATAAAATTGGAAAATTCGTAAAGAATTATAATCAAAAATGTAAAAACTATAGTAAATAGCAATTTTGAAAGAGTTATTTTAACCGAGGAAAACTGATCGTTGTACTTAATGATGAACGTGTTTAGTCCACTTGTAGATAATTATGTGTTATATATATTTCTGTCAATTCAAAATCCCAAAAGCCCTATTATATATAATGCCGGATTGTTAATCATATGAATACACTTATGCCTAATTATCGCACGGGTAATAGTTAAGTGAAGAGTACTACTCTTACAATATAGTAAAGTACAGTAACGTAACTAAACTAAGTTTAAGATTTATTCATTAAATTTAATGATTTACTTATAGAAAACAAAAACAAAAAAAAAAATTATACAAAATTTAATAAACTTTTTATTTTCATTTCATTTACATTCTTCATATGAACCTGTTTATTACACACATAGCTTAGTTACACATATGTATGATATTATATAATTTTGCTCTTTAAAATGCAAATCTCCCGTGTGAACTATTAAGCTTCCAGTTAGTTTTGATAAGATAAAGCAATTGAAATTAATTTTCTCTCTCTCTCTCTCTCTCTCTCTCTGTCTTTAGCTCTATCTTCATTTGCTCAAAAGTACAAAATAGAAAAATAATTAATTGCTCAGTAGCAACAGCAGCAATTGTAGTCTTCCATCCTTAAGAGTATAAAAATGAAAATAAAAAATAAAGCAAAAAAAAAA